TGCAGATATCTCAAAATATTGTTTATGCTCCTCCTGACTTTGAAATTATGGTAGCTGTGAGGCCTGCTGTTAGATCCTCTTTAATTGTTAATGAAAAGCGCATATATTTCTATAGCACAAAGAATTTTGTAATAGCTTGTGTGGTGCCCATGACAATGCACCTTGCAGGCCTCCAACAGAGTAACTGACTGAGAGTGCCAGCTGCTTCCAGTTGAGGTCTAGCTGGTTTGCCAGAGTGCCTTGCTAGGGCTGCTCAGTCAGTGACTGAGCCCCAGGGGATATGAAGACCGGCCATTCCTGAGAGACAGTGGACTCCTGACAGCCAACTTTGGCTGAGGCCTCCCAGGGGCCTTGATGAACTTTCCAAAGGCTTCTAATCTTCCTCCCTCCCTCCCTCTCTTCTTTCTTTCCTTCCTTGGAGGCCTGACTTCTCTCCCAGTCTCACCTGCTAGCTCCCTCCCCATTTTTTCTCACCAGCCAAACTGTTTAATTTTGTCTTGGCATCCATTTCTTGGGGAACCCAGACTAACAGTTTGATAATGGCTTTTCATATAGCTGCCTTCTTTTATAATGGAATGTACTGTATTTTCTGCTTTTAAAACCACGACTCTTTCATTGGTACATGCTTATCTCCAAACTCATCAAGCTGTCTACATTAAATATGCACAGCTTTTTGTATGCCAATTATGTTTCAATGAAGTGGTTAAAAAAAATACCACTATTCTGTGATAGGGTCCACACATTTCACCAGATGTCAAAGAGGCCCATGGCATAAAAACAGTACAGAAGTCTTGCCCTCTTGTTTAAGCTACTGTTATTTGGATTTTCTATTATTTACTAAGCAAAGCATCCCAACTCTTAGAAAGTTTCAGTGAAAAATTCTGAGAAGCTCTGGTTGGGGTAAACTAGTGTAATGGAATGTTAAAATGTGGCTCTTCCTGCCTTGCAGTTTGGAAATAGGCCCCCAAGGCTGAGAACAGCCCCCTGGTTGCCAAGAACGCTTGCCGCAAGTGTGAAGTGTTAGACCAGCTTGGTGGACACAGGGTGAGCAGATAGATAGGCCCTGTCCCTGAGCAGCTTGCAGGGCACACAGAGAGACTGACAGCCAAGCCCAGTCCCTGACAGCCAAGCACCCACCTCCCCGCACCACAAGGCGTACTGGAGTCACAGTGGTCCCATGACCCATGTCAGTGTCCTGCCCACCTCCCCAGCAACACTGCCGGCCTGAACTGCTGGCAAGGGAGAATGCTTCCATGGGAAAAAAAGTTAAGAGCAATGCAGTGTTTACACTGGACATTTAAATGCCAGACCCTCTTGGGTTTGTTCTTATATTCCCCTAAGAGCTCCAAGATGGGCTGGGGCTGTGGCCTGGTGGGAGGAGGGTCCCCACAGGGTGATGGAGAGGGGATGATGTTGCCTGCTCCCTTCTGAGTCCTGGGCTGCTCTGCTGCCACTGATGAGGAAGATGAAGACTTGGCAGACACCAGGAAGACAATGCAGAGGAGACGCCCGAGGGCTGCCCTGTGACTGGCCGGGCCACAGCAACTATGCGAAAACTTTCGCCTGTGGGTGGGCAAAGATCAACCATGTCACAAAGACAGGCCTTATGGGAAGAGTGGAGGGACTGGGGGGACTCTTCTCCCTCTATTCTCCAAATTTAGGGCAATGTTCTGTTTTTAACACTCTCTCGTCCTGAACGGAATCCAAATAAGATCTCGGAATTAATACTGAAACCCAGTGGTTCTCAAAGTGTGGTACTCAGACCAGTAGCACCCTCAGAACCTGGGGTGATGGTTAATTTTATGTGTCAACTTGATTAGGCTATGGTGCCCAGTTGCTTGGTCAAATACTAGTCTAGATGTTTCTCTGAAGGTAGTTTGTAGATGTGATTAACATCTGCAATTATTAGCTTTTTTTGAGATAGGGTCTCACTCTGTCACTCAAGCGGGAGTACAGTGGAATGATCTCGGCTCACTGTAGCCTCAACCTCCTAGGCCCAAGCGGTCCTCCCACCTCAGCCCCCAAAGTAGCTGGCACTACAGGCACATGCCACCACACTCAGCTAATATTTTTGTATTTTTTTGTAGAGACTAAGTCTTGCATGTTGCCCATGCTGGTCTCAAGCTCTCGGGATCAAGCGATCCTCCCACCTTGACCTCCCAAAGTGCTGAGATTACAGGCATGAGCCACTCACCCGGCCTGTAATCATTAATTTTAAGTTACCATCCTTGATAGCATGGGGGGGTGTTCATTTAATCAGTTGAGGGCTTAAGAGTAAAAACTGAGTGTTTCTGAAAAAGAAGCAATTCTGCCTCAAAACTGTAACACAGAAATCCTGCCTGAAGCTCCACCCTGCTGGCCTGCCCTGCAGATTTCAGACTTGCCAACCCTCACAATATTGTATGAGCCAATTCCTTACACACACACACACACACACACACACGCGCGCGCACGCTTTCCTTTCTCTGGAGAACCCTGACTGCTATACCTGAGAACTTGCTAGAAATGCAAATTCTCAGGCCCCCACCAGGCTGACTGAATCAGACACTCTGGGGTGGTGGGTGGGATGCCTGAACAAGCTCTTCAGGAGATTCTGTTGCACCCTCAAGTTTGAGAACCGCTGCTCCACAATCTCGATACTGAAAGTGTATGCACAGACCAGCAGCACTGGCAGGTCCTGGGAGCTGGTAGAAATGCACATTCCCAGGCCCCACCCAGACTTGTGAATCAGGCTCTGCATTGAACCAGGTCCCTGGATGCTGCACAGGCACTGTAGGGTTTGAGCCCTGGACTCTTGGAAATACCAGTGGTCAATTATTAGGCACTTAGTGCCAAGCCCTTTATATAACTTGTATAATTCATGTGTTGAACGTGTGTAACTTCACTGAATTCTCTCACAACCCTGTAAGGTAGACACACTCATTAATTCCATTTTACAGATGAAGAAATGAGCCCAGAGGGACTTAAAGGGGTTGGGTGACCTGCTCAGGGTCATATAGCTTGTAAGCGGTGGACACAGAATTAGAACCCAGGCCAGAAATGACTAGAAGCACAGAAGCACCCACTCTCCACTCCCCAGACAGGGTGCCTCACGATTTGGGAGACAGGACACACACACAGACGCACAGACACACAGCGCCAAGATGCCTCCTCTTAATTACAGCTGTAGCTGCCGTTGCGTCTGCTGCTAACAAAGGCTGTGGGCTGGGAATGGAATCAATTTAATATGCAAGTGCTGTTCCCAATTAGCACAAATTACCATTTGTCTGAGAGGATAATGCTGGGAGCTGGAATCCGCCCCGGTGGGTCACAGAACTCCGTGCGCATCAGCCTAATCCCTACTGCTGCAGCCACAACCTTCCTCACTGTCTTCCCTGGACACAGGAGAGGCAGGACGGGCCAGGGAAGAACCTGGGAGGCAGGTACACCCTGGCTCCGTGCCCGTTGGGAGCATCCATTATTTTTGTCAGCCCCATGTCAGTTGCCCCCCAAGCACCTGTGTTATTGGCTAAATCTGCATCAGCCAACATCAGTCTTCAGCTCCACAGGAAAGGTCTGCTCCCTCCTCCCTCCCGCTCCCTCCCTGGGGCCTGGAACATTCTCAGGCCTGGAAACATAAGAGGGCTTTGATGATGCCATTCAAGGCTACAGCAGCATGTGGCTTTGTGGTGAGTGACTATCATGGCACCAGAAAGGGCTGAGTGATTGGTAGGTGTGCTGCTGCCCTCACCTTCCTTCAGTTTCTTTTCTTTTTTTTTTTGAGATGGAGTCTTGCTCTGTCACCCAAGCTGGAGAGCAGTGGGGCAATCTCGGCTTACTGCAACCTCCATCTCCCAGATTCAAGCAATTCTCCTGCCTCCGCCTCCCAAGGAGCTGGGATTACAGTCACCCACCACCACACTCGGCTAATTTTTGTATTTTTAGTAAAGATGGGGTTTCACCATGTTGGCCAGGCTGGTCTCGAACTCCTGACCTCAAGTGATCCACTGATCTCTCAAAGTGCTGGGATTACAAGTATGAACCACCATGCCCGGCCCCACTCAGATTTTTGAGCCCCAATAGGCTGCCTCCTGATACCAAGCCTTTGCACATGCAGTTCCCTCAGCCTAGGATACTCTTCCCTATCTCTACTTTTTTCCAGGGGGACTCCTAGGCATCCTTCAGGTTGCAGCTCAATACTAATTCTTATTACAACAACTCTCATTTATTGAGTACTTACTTTGTGCTTTACCTGTGTTAACTCATTTAGTACCCTAAGACTAGGTGATAGGTATTATAGTAATCCCACTTTGCAGACGGGAAAACTGTAGCACAGAGAAGGTAAGTAAGCTGCCTGAGGCCACACAGCTAGTAAGTGTATCAGTAGCATTTGAACAAGGGGCTAGGCCTCAGAGTCCCATCTCTTACTTCTTCAGAGAAGCCTGCCCAGCCAGGAAGAGCCTCCTGTGGATCCCTCTCCTGACACCATTCTCCTTAATAACAGCACAACTGCATCCACATAGGTCTCCTCTGTTTCCTTATTGTCTGCCCGCAAAAAGGGCAGATACCCAGGCTGACTTGCTGAGGGCTGTGTCTTCAGCACCTGGGTCTGTGTCTGGCACATGATACATGCTCAGTAAGTATTTGTGGAATGCTTGAATAAGCAGGCCTCAAGTTCTTCATTGCCAAAATGGGGCTGTTGATCCCTACCCCGAGGGTCACTATGAGGATTCAGGTAACGCAGGTAGAGCACTTGGCATGTCAGGAAGACAGATTCCAAATTCCCTGCCCTGGTGTGTTAAGATCACTTGTGCATTCAATAAACACTCATTAAGCACCTACTGTGTGCTGGCAGCCATAGCTGCTGGGTCCACACACTGCAGAGAAGAGGAGCTAAAGCTGGCCCTTCGGGAAGGCAGACTGCATCTAAAGCTGAATTCCCAGACAGTGTCTGCACCTGATCCCTGCTCTGGTGCCTGGGACTTGTTCCCTCCCACCAGCCCCGGGCATTGGGCACTCACAGGCTTCATGATCCAGGTGATTCCTGGGTTTTTGCGAAACTCCTCCACAAAAAGATGGTATTCGCAAGGCATCTCAAAGGTTTTGGGGAAGAAGTCGCACTTGGCTGCCTCCAGCTTTCCCGCTTCGCGCTCCAGCTGCTTCCGGAACCGCTTCAGGTTCTTTACCATATAGTTCTTCCGGGTCAGCTGGGTAGCGGGAAGGACAGGCAGCCATTAGCTCCTGCTCACAGCCCCGCTCCCCTCCCAGTCACACACATCCACCAGCCACCCTACAGCCTCCATGCTCTGGCCCACAAAATAGCAACAGTAAGAGTAACTTTGACCCAGAAAGAGCTTGCTAGTCAAGAATTATCCCCATTTCACAGATGAGGAAACTGGGACTTAGACAAATTAAGTCAATTGCTCATAGCTATCCAATGAAGGTGCTGCACTGCCAGGATTTGACCAGGGCCTGTCTTGATTCCAAAATTCATGCTTTTGGCTGGGCGCAGTGGCTCACACCTGTAATCCCAGCACTTTGGGAGGCCGAGGCAGGCAGATCACAAGGTCAGGAGTTTGACACCAGCCAGGCCAACATGGCAAAACCCCATCTCTAATAAAAATTAGCCAGGCGTGGTGGTGAGCACCTGTAATCTCAGCTACTCAGGAGGCTGAGGCAGAAGAATCACTTGAACCCGTGAGGCAGAGGTTGCAGTGAGCCAAGATCGTGCCATTGCACTCCAGCCTGGGTGACAAGGGCAAGACTCCATCTCAAAAAAAAAAAAAAAAAAAAAATTCATGCTTCTAACCACTAAGCTACACTAACCTTTAAAAATCTCCCACCACAGCTTCCTCCAGTCCTGTCCCTTCTAGACCTCCTTCCCATCTTTAGACCCCAAACTTCTCAACTTGCCTCCACCCTGAAATCACCATAATCATTCATACATCCTCTCCCTTCAGACCCTGCACCCTCAAACCAGCTTGCTCCTCAAATCTTGGTGCTGAAACTCCAACCAGCCTGTGACTTCCAATCCTCAGGCCTTAGATCCCTATACCCCCAAACCATTTGGCTCTCCATAGGTCTAGCCCGCATACTCCCCACCCGGCATTGCCTCCCACATTCTAATACACTTTTCCAATACACTTTTCCGTTCTGATCCTTGTACCAGCTCCAGCTCATGGCCACACCCAGTGACATGAGTTGGTTGGCTTAGTCCCCTCCTGCCTGCCCAGCTTACCTCGTAGTGGTTCCGGAAGTGGCTGATCCGCACGTGTTCATCCATGTAGGTGTGGTCGAAGTTCTCCCGGAGCCAACTGACATCGCACCAGTAGAAATCCCACTCTCCTTCGCTGGGGTTGCGGTTGGGGGTGGGGATAAAGGTCATGATCTGAGGACCTTGGCACTGCAGGGCCCAGGGAGGTGCTGCCGAGGGCATTTGAGGAAGGGTACGCAGCAGTATATCCCTCTGGAGTCTCTTGGAAGTGGCCGTGGTGTCACTGGCCTAAATGTCCTTTGTTAGACCAGAGCAAAAACCAGGGAACTGTTCCCACAAAAATCCAGGTGGCTGGCTTCCCAGAGTGCCTCCTGGCTGGGCTGAGGAGCGGCCACCCCTTCAGAGAGGGCATGCCCTCCCCAGACCACAGTCCCTACGATTCTCTGTGGTGCGACAGCCACTCAGCCTCACTTGTTCTTGCCAGTTGCCACGCCTGCAGCCCACAGTGGAATGAGCTAACTTCTGCAAGCCCCTCCCAGTTCACAAAACTCTCCATTCACCAGATCCTCAGAGCAGCCCCCAAAGGTGACTTGGATCATCCCCAGAGCTCTAAGGCAGGATGACCTTGCTCACCGAGGACATAGCAGCAGCAGGACCCACACCCAGCTCTGCCGGCTCCAAATTCTGATCCCATTCTCCACCACCATGCCAGGGAGAGGAAACCGGGCCAATCTACCAAATCTGGGTGCCAGTGCTAGGGTGCTGGGAGGAGGAGCTTGAAAAAGATGCCACAGGAAATAAAACACCACCATGATTGTTCACAATTATTTCTAAGTAAAAAAGTACAGATATAACTGAAGCCCCCTGTCTATCCCTGCCTGATTCTATCTTCTTCTCTCCTGCTGCAAAGGAAACCATCAGCCTGAGTTTGGTGTGTTATCATTTCTATACAGTGGCTTTTTTTTTTGAGACGGAGTCTCACTTTGTTGCCCACACTGGAGTGCAGTGGTGTGATCTTGGTTCACTGCAACCTCTGCCTCCCAGGTTCAAGCGATTCTCCTGCCTCAGCCTCCCAAGTAGCTGGGACGACAGGTGCGTGCCACCACAACCAGCTAATTTTTTATTTTTAGTAGAGATAGTGTTTCACCATGTTGGCCAAGCTGGTCTGGAACTGACCTCAGGTGATCCACCCGCCCTGGCCTCCCAAAATGCTGGGATTACAGGTGTGAGCCGCCGTGCCCAGCCTGCAGTGACTTTATAGTTTCATCATGTATATATGTGTATATCCATACATCATGGCACATGGCATTGTTTGTCATGATTTTAAACCTAACACTAATACTTATTACTTACCGGCAGAGCAGGATTTGAACTCAGGTCTCAGGCTCCAGAGTCCAAGCTCTGTGGTTAGAACCACTCCCATCTGTTTCTTTTCACAACATGCTTTTTTCCCACCAAACTTTTGTTTTGGAGATCGATCCTTTTGATACATAGGAGTCTAATTCAGTCATTCTAATTGCCATTTCCCATTCCACTGGGTGAACATACCACAGTATATCCATTTTCCTATTAAAAGGTGTTTGGGGCTGGGCATGCTGGCTCACACCTGTAATCCCAGCATTTTGGGAGGCCGAGGTGGATGGATTGTTTTAGCTCAGGAGTTTGAGACCAGCCTGGCCAACATGGTGAAATCTCATTTCTACCAAAAATACAAAAAATTAGCCAGAAGCGGTGGCACACACTTGTAGTCCCAGCTACTCTGGAGGCTGAGATGGGAGAATCACTTGAGCAGGAGGGTGGAGGTTGTAGTGAGCCAAGATTGTGCCACTGCACTCCAGCCTGGGTGACAGAGTGAGACCCCATCTCAAAAAAAAAAAGTGTTTGGTTTGTCTCCCTTTCCCCCTACCCCTTTTCTCTAATACAGACAAGTAGACTGAGTTTCAAAAGACATCTGGAGGTTTGAGGCAGAAATGGAGAAAAGTGAAGAGACATTGCCATAACCTTGGGATGATGAATGAACAGGCCCTGAACAGGACCAATGGGGAGGATGCAGGGGCAGACTGTAGTTCCAAAATATGCCTACACTATATCCCTCATCCAGAGGCTGCGGGGCTGTGAGGCCACAAGAAGAACCCATGAGAACTTTCTTCAGCTGTCTGCCCTAGTGAGATCCCCACAAACAGCTAGCATCAACTGCCACACTTGTGAGTCAGATGCCCTCAGACTACTCCTGCCACCAAGTGACCTCCAGATCTGGACTCTCCCCAGCTGATGCCCCCAGCTGATGTCACAGAGACAAGCCAGTCCCACTGTGTCCTGTAAGAGTCCCTAACTCACAGGAGCCCCGCGCCTAATGCAATGCTGTCTTAAGCAGCTAAATTTGGGATTTGTTACACAGCCATAGCAACTGGAACAATGGCCAAGCAGTTGAGCCTTGTGTTGTAAATGCAGCTCCCTTTGGAATTTTCTTTCCTTTTTCTTGAGACGAAATTTCACTCTTGTTGCCCAGGCTGGAGTGCAATGGCACGATCTCAACTCACTGCAACCTCCGCCTCCCGGGTTCAAGTGATTCTCCTCCTTCAGCCTCCAGAGTAGCTGAGATTAGAGGCATGCACTACCTCGCTTGGCTAATTTTGAATTTTTAGTAGAGACGGGTGTCTTCATGTTGGTCAGGCTGGTCTCGAACTCCTGACCTCAGGTGATCCGCCCGCCTTGGCCTCCCAGAGTGCTAGGATTATAGGTGTGAGCCACTGCACCCAGCCTGGAATTTTCCTAGAACTAAAGATTTAAATTGTTTCTCCTTGTGGCTGCTGGTTTGGTGTTTCTCCTGAATGTCACACCATGTGCAGAAGGGCTTTAAGGCAGGCAGACAGGCCCAGCCTTTCACTGCTCTCAGAGATGTCCAGAGATGGACATCGGTGCACACACCATGCACAGATGTGGTGACGTGAAGCACATGGTAACAGAATGACACTGGAACCAGAAATCTACGGTTTCCAAATTTTGTCCTAAGTTACTCATGAAAATCTGAGGCCTGGTCCTTCTCCAAACCTCCCCTGTGGCTGTGCCCAGGCACAGTGATTTGCAAGAACGGTTTCAAGAACTGATGGAAACCCACTGGAGAAGTGGCTGGTTGGGCACAGTGGCTCACGCCTATAATCCTAGCACTTTGGGAGGCCGAGGCGTGTGGATCACCTGAGGTCAGAAGTTTGAGACCAGCCTGGCCAACATGGTGAAACCCCGTCTCTGCTAAAAACTAAAAAAATTAGCCCAGCGTGGTGGCAGTTTCCTGTAATCCCAGCTACTCGGGAGGCTGAGGCAGGAGAATCGCTTGAACACAGGAGGCAGAGGTTGTAGCGATTGCACCACTGCACTCCAGCCTGGGCGACAAAGCGAGACTCAATCTCACACAAACAAAAAAAAGGAAATGGCCATGTGTTCTATAAACCCTCAGACACCATAGAGTCGCAGATTCCTGGCTGGCTGGCTGGGGCTTCATCTAGATGCCCAGTCCTGCCTTTTCGCCACCCTGATGTTTGTACCAAGTCATGTCACACAGTGCAAGGAGCACTAGAACAGGAGTCAAGAGCCCTGATTCTCGTCTTGTCAGGCAGTAGCACTTATGTGAGCTTGCCCTCTTCTCTGGGCCTCAGCTTCCTATTGGGAAAATCTAGGTGTGGTAATCTCTAGGCAAGATGATAGGCTGCAATGAGCCAAACTGATACTAAATAATTAAATAAGGGGCAGGAAGAGAAAAACTTTCTCTACAGAAGAATGCTACCTAATACATGTAGAAGGAATGACAGAGAGTAACCATTTTGTAATTATTGTAATAATAATAGATTTAGGCAAGAATTCTCAAAAAAGGCCAGGCACGGTGGCTCCCGCCAATAATCCCAGCACAGTGGGAGGTCAAGGCAGGAGGATTACTTGAGCCCAGGAGTTCGAGACCAGCCTGGTCAACATGGTTAAACCTCATCTCTACAAAAAATACAAAAATTAGCCAGGAATGGCAGCATGGGCCTGTAGTCCCAACTACTCAGGGGGCTGAGGTGGCAGGATCACTTGAGCCCAGAGGGTCAAGGCTGCAGTGAGCCATGATTGTCCCACTGCACTCCAGCCTAGGTGACAGAGTGAGACTCTGTCTCAAAAAAAAAAAAAAAAAAAAAGAATTATCAAAAAATGCTAAAACCATTGCATGAAAGTTTGTTGGGAACAAGATATTTGCACAGTCTCAGAGTATCTGCCCATGAGATACTTATTAATTATTTTTTTAAAAGTTAATTTACATTGGAGAAACCTGGCAGACACCACCTTAATCTAATAGTCAATCAAGGTACTGTCACCAGTGATAAGACACATTGACATCACAAACGCCCGATGAGTTCCACTGGAAAGGGCACAGTATTCCTGCCAAAATCCATAACCTCATGATGAGAAAACATCAGACAAATCCAATTCAAGGGACATTCTACACAATGTACTCTTCAAAATTGTCAAGGGCATGAAAGACAAAGACCAAGGAACTGAAACATATTTGAGGTAAAAAAGGTCAACTAAATGCAAAGTGGGATCCTGGATTGGATTCTGGAACAGAAAAAGGATGTTAGTGGGAAAAAACTGGTGAAATTCAAATGATGTCTGCAGCTTGGTTAACAGTAATATATCAGTGTTAACGTCCTGACTTTGACAAATATACTATGATTACATAAGCTGCTAACAGGGAAAGGTGGTGAAACTGCTAAAAGAGGAAGCTATGTATGATTTTTGAAACTTTTCTGTAGGTCTAAAGTTATTTCAAAATAAAAAAGTTTAAAAGTAAGTATTTTAAAATATTAAAGTTGGACCCCTACTTCACACCATATAAAAAATTAAATAGAACACCTAGATGTAAGGGCTAAAACTATAAAACTCTTAGAAGAAGACATAGGAGTAAATCTTTGTGACCTTGGATTAGGCAATGGTTTATAAGATGTGATACCAAAAGCACAAGGAACAAAAGAAAAAATAGGTAAATTGGACTTTATGAAAATGAAAAAGTTTTTACTTCAGAAGACACAGTCAAGAAAGAGGAAAGATTATTCACAAAATGAAAGAAAATACTTGCAAATCAGATATAAGAATACCCTTATAAGATAGAATTCTTATAACTCGAATATAAAGAGACAACTAAATTTAAACATGAGCAATAGATATTTCTTTAAGGAAGATTTATAAATGGCTAATAAGCACATGAAAAGATGCTAAAAATCGTTAGCCATCAGGGAAATGCAAATCAAAACCAAAATGATACCACTTCATACCCACTAGGATGGCCATAAAAAATGCGAGGGTTGGTACGGTAGCTTATACCTATAATCTCAACACTTTGGGAGGCAGAGGCAGGAGGATCACTCAAGTCCAGAAGTTCAAGATGAGCCTAGGTAACATAATGAGACCCCATCTCTACAAAAAAAAAACTTAAAACATTTAGCAAGGTATGGTGGTGTGTGCTTGTAGTTCCAGCCACTCAGGAAGCTGAGGTGGGTGGATCACTTGAGCCCAGGAGGTCAAGGTTGTAGTTGGCTGTGATTGTACCACTGCACTCCAGCCTAGGTGACAGAGAGAGACCCTTTCTCTAAATAAATAAATAAATAAATGGATGAATAATAACGAGAGTTGGTGAGAATGTGGAAAAATCGGCACCCTCATACACTCCTGGTGGAAATGTAAAATGGCACAGCCACTTGAGAAAACAGTCTAGCAGTTCCTTAAAAAGTTAAACATAGAGTTATCATATCACCCAGTCACTCCTCTCCTATGTATACACCCGCAAAAAGTGAAAACATATGTCCATTCAAACTCATACACGAATGTTCACAGCAGCATTATGTATAACAGCCCAAAGGTGGAAATAACCTAAACACCTATCAATTAATGAATAGATATTTTAAATAAATGTGGTACTCCTTCACAGTAGAATACTATTCAGTCATAAAAGAGAATGAAGTCCCAGCTACTCAGGAGGCTGAAGCAGGAGAATCACTCGAGCCCAGGAAGTTGAGGTTGCAGTGAGTCATGACTGCGCCACTGCACTCCAGCCTGGGTGACAGGCTGAGATCCTGTCTCAAAAAAACAAAACAAGAAAAAAAAAAAGGAATGAAGTACTGATACATACTGCTACATGGATAAGCCTTGAAAACATTATGTTAAGTGAAAGAAGACAGGCAAAAGTTTACATATTGTATAATTCCACTTATATGATGTGTCCAGAATAGATAAATAGAGACAGGGCCCAAGACAGGGGCTAGAGGGAGGGAGAAATGGGAATGACTGCTGGTGGGTATGGGGTTTCTTCCTGGGATAATGAAAATGTTCGGAATTAGATCGTGGTTTTGACACAGCAGGTATGTGGGGGAAAAAAAATGGTGATGATTACACAACTTTGTGAATATTCTAAAAGACACGAAATTGTATATATATACTTTTTTTGGACTTAATCAAAATTAAAAAGATTTTATATATTTTTTCTTCCAACATGTAGGTATTGATGCAAATCCCAGCCCAAGCCCTCACAAGCTGAGTGACCTCAAACATGGCATTTTCACTACTTTGTGCCGAGTTTTCTCATTAGTAAAATGGGGGTGATGATAACATCTACCTGAAAGATTTGTTGGGATGATTAAAAGATCATGCATGCGAAACGCTACAGTGTCCAGAAGGCTTAGCTAATGGTAAGCAGCAAATATTTCCTGAGTACCACACAGCAGGGCAGCTATCCCTCTTATCCCTTCTCCCCTTTCTCTATAGTAAAAGAATTTTCAGCATTTACTTGAGAAAATGTAGCCTGTATTTCCCCGAATAAAAACTACATTTTCCAGATTCGGCTGGGCATGGAGGTTCACGCCTGTAATCCCAGCACTTTGGGAGGCCGAGGCGGGTGGATCACAAGGTCAGGAGATTGAGACCATCCTGGATAATATGGTGAAACCCCGTCTCTACTAAAAATACAAAAAATTAGCTGGGCGTGGTGGCGGGCGCCTGTAGTCCCAGCTACTCAGGAGGCTGAGGCAGGAGAATGGCGTGAACCTGGGAGATGGAACTTGCAGTGAACCAAGATTGTGCCACTGCACTCCAGCCTGGGCAACAGAGCAAGATTCCGTCTCAAAAAAAAAAAAACAAACAAAAAAACCCTACATTTTCCAGATTCCCTTGTAGCTGGGTGTGGCCACATGGTTAAAGTCTGGCCAGTGAGCTGTGAGAGACTCCTGGGTTTTGTCCTTCAAGGGATGGGCTTGCCTTTTCTTTTTTTCTTTCTTTCTTTTTTTTCTTTTGGGACAGGGTCTCACTCTGTCACCCAGGCTGGAGTGCAGTGGTATGATCACAGCTCACTGTAGCCTCGACCTCATGGACTCAAGTAATTTTCCCACCTCAGCCTCCCAAGTAGCTGGGACTACAGGCACACACCACCGTGCCTGGCTAACATTTTTTTTAAAATTTTGTAGAGACAGGGTCTTGCCATGTTGCCCAGGCTGGTCTTGAACTCCTGGACTCAAGTGATCCTCCCACCTTGGCCTCCCAAAGGGCTGCAATTATAGGTGTGAGCCACTGCACCTGGCTTATGCCTTTTATTGCCTCCTGCCTACCTCCTGCTGTTTGGAATGTGAAAGCAAGGCTAGAACTCCATCTTGGACTATGAAAAACAAGGACTTCACCTAAGGGATAGTAGAGTGGAAAGACAGAAGCAGATGGATCTCACATTTCTGTGGGGCCCCCTTACCATCTCTGAACTTCCTACATATGAACTTCAATGGGATAGATAATCTTCTAGCATGTCGAAGCCTCTTTTACTTTGGGTTTCCATTGCATACCTCCAATCCTTAGCCCTAACTAATAGCACCTACTCTGTGCCAGGCATCACATGCTGGTTTGTCTCAATCAGTATCCCCAGAGGCCAGCATGAAAGAAGAAAGGCAGGCTTACAGGCCAAAGTCACAGAACTAGCAAGTGACCAGGGAAGAACAGTCCTTGATCTGGACCCATCACAGGAGGATCCAGGCCACAGGTCTGTGGTAGCTGCATTCCTAGTTTCTACCGAAAGCCGTAGGACACAAATGCGCCTGGATTTGAATCCTGCTCTGACACTTGCAATGCTGTGTGACTTTAAGCAATTGGTTTCATAACTCTGAACATACTCTTATCTTACGGTTTAGTTGGAAGGCTTAAATAAGACAGATGATAGCAATAATGTGCCTGGCACATTGTGGGTGCTAAATAAATATCACAGCCACTTTGGGACAAGTCCCAGTGGCCACCCAGGGGAACTAGGAGAAAAACAAAGGACGACAAGGACCTGTGAGACAAAGGGAAGAAGGGACAAGGCTGGGGGAAGTGTCTTACTCCTTCACTTCCACCCATCCTGGCCTGTGGCGAAGGACGTCCATGAGTGTGTTCATGAGGGTGGTCTTGAACCGGATCGATGCTCTCTGCTCTCTGCAAGACAAGGCAATGAACATTTGCTCAGGATCAATGATTTTCCTAGGATGGCGCAGGGAGAGGAAAAAAGTGGGAGGAAGAGAAGTCAAGTTCCATACCTGGAAAGTTTCACACTGTATTTTAGAATTTAGCATTAGAGCATGATAATACTTAGCATAATCAAATTGAGAATTATAGCATCTTTGAATCATTGAAAAATAATGATCATTATATTCAAGCCTACTACGTACCAGGCATGATCTGGTTGCTTTCCATGTGCTATGACTAATTCTTACATGAAATGATAAGTATTTGCAAAGCCCTCTCCTGGCAATCATCTGGGAAGATGAAGCAGATGTACTTTTTCCTATTCCTCCTACTGATACAACTGAAAGCACAAGATATTATCTATAAAATAAATACAAGACGGAAAGCTAGAGAAGAGGGCAGACTGGCTGGGGACTTCAGGACCACAGGAACTATAAGGTGGTGAATTCCCTGGGTTTCCTTTTTGTCTCATGTAGTTCAGATATGGAGATGAAAAGCCACCAACCCAGAAATGCCAATGGGCACAGACGATAAAGCTTCAACAAAAGCACCCCGTTTCTAGCCAAAGGACCAAGAAAGGAGCAGCCTAGCCAGGCAGAAGACTTGGACAATCACTGCTCTACTCCAGCTGGATCCCCAAGAACACATCTGTGGCCCACTCCCAGTGATGCCAGCAAAGGCTGGGTAGGGAGTCTAGACTTCCCCTGAGGTTGCAGCAGGGCACCCAACACCCCTGCCGGTGCTGTCAGAGAAGGCCACAGACATAGCCAGGTTTTCACCTCTGCCAGGCAGTAATGAGGCTCCCACCCCCACTGCAGCAATGAAGAGACCATGTGTGGAGCCTGGACTTCCTCCCCAACCTGGCAGTAATGAGGTGCCCTCCCACTCTGGGGTGATGTTAAAGAGGGCCTAGAGGAGAGCTGGAAATCAATACAATCGAAAACAGAAAAACAGTATAGCCAATCGGTAAAATAAAAGGCAAGTTCTCTGGAAAGATCCATAAAATCGACAAGCCTATTTGTCAGCAAGACTGACAAAGGAAAGACCCAGCTACCCAATAAGAGGACCGAAACAGAGGCTCCTGCTATGGAGCCCGCAGGTATCACAGCCACAATGAGGAAATGCTGCTGACAGCTCTACACACCTACATTTGACAGCTTAGATGAAATGGACCAATTCCTCAAAAAGCACAATTACTACAACTCATCCAATATGAAATAGGTAATTTGAATAGCTCTATAGCTATTAAGGAAATTGAATTCATAATTCAAAACCTCCCAAAAAAGAAATCTCCAGGCTCAGATGGTTTCACTGGAGAATTTCTCCAAATATTTGAAGAAGGATTAACACCAATCCTACACAATCTCTTCCAGAAAATAGAAGAGGAGGGAGAATTTCCAAATTCAATTTTTCCAAGTTAGTATTAACCTGATATCAAAACCAAAGACAGTACACAAGAAGTAAACCACAGACCAATATCCCTTATGAATACAGATGGAAAAATCCTTAACAGAATGCAATCAAATAGATTTCAGCAATATATAAAAAGGATTATACACCATAACCAAGCGGAGTTTATTCCAGCAGGCAAGGCTGATTCAATATTCAAAAATTAATCAATGAGCCAGGCATGGTGTCTCGTGCCTATAATCCCAACCCTTTGGGAGGCTGAGGCAGGAAGATTACTTGAGGTCAGGAGTTCAAGACCAGAATGGCCAACATGGTGAAATCCCATCTCTACTAAAAATACAAAAATTAGTCAGGTGTGGTGGTGGGCACCTGTAGTCCCAGCTACTCAGGAGGCTGAGGCAGAAGAACCGCTTGAATTGGGGAGGCAGAGGTTGCAGTGAGCTGAGATAGCACCACTGCACTCCAGTGTGGGCGACAGAGACTGTCTCAAAAAAAAAAAAAAAATCAATGTCATATTAACAGACTAAAAAGGAGAAATCACATGATCATATCAATTGATGCAGAAAAGGCATTTGACAAAAATTAAACACTCATTCATTTAAAAACTCTGAGAGGAACTTCATCAACTTGATAAAAGCATCTAAAAAAACTCAAGCTAACATTATAATTAGTGGTATGTGAAAGTTGTCAGATTCAAAATGGAGGGGGGAGGGATTGCACTGGGAGTTATACCTGATGTAAATGACGAGTTGATGGGTGCTGACGAGTTGACGGCTGTAGCACACCAACATGGCACAAGTATACATATGTAACAAACCTGCACGTTATGCACATGTACCCTAGAACTCAAAGTATAATAAAAAAAAAAACAAAAAAACATGGAGTCACTTATGTCAGACTCTGGCAAGATAGGGCCCGGGGGCCGGGCGAGGTGGCTCACGCCTATAATCCCAGCCCTTTGGGAGGCCGAGGCGGGCGGATCATTTGATCATTTGAGGTCAGGAGTTGGAGACCAGCCTGACCAACCTGGTGAAATCCCATCTCTACTAAAAATACAAAAAAATTAGGCCGGGCGCAGTGGCTGCTGCCTGTAATCATAGCACTCTTGGAGGACGAGATAGGCGGATCACCTGAGGTCAGGAGTTCCAGACCAGCCTGGCCAACATGGTGAAACCCCGTCCCTACTAAAAATACAAACATTAGCTGGGTGTAGTGGCTGGCGCCTATAATTCCAGCTACTAGGGAGACTGAAGCAGGAGAATCACTTGAATCCGGGAGGTGGAAGTTGCAGTGTGCTGAGATTGTGCCACTGCACTCCAGCCTGGGCAAGAGAGTGAGACCCTGTCTCAATAAATAAATAAATACATAAATAAATACATGAATAACCTTACTGTCCCAGAAGTCAGAGGGACTGAAATGGGTTGGCAGGGCTTCATTCCTTTTGGAGGCTTTATGGGAGAATTTGTTTCCTTGCCTTTCCCAGCTTCTAGCTGGGTATGGTGGCATGTGCCTGTAATCCCAGCTACCCAGGAGGCTGAGGCAGGAGAATCGTTGGAACCTGGGAGGCAGAGGCTGCAGTGAGCCGAGATCACGCCACTGCTCTCCAGCCTGGGCAATAGAGCAAGACTTCATCTCAAAAAAAAAAAATTAGCCAGGCATGGGGGTGTGCACCTGTAGTCCCAGCTACTTGGAAGGCTGAGGCAGGAGAATCTCATGAACTTGGGAGGCAGAGGTTGCAGTCAGCCGAGATCCCACCACTGCATCCAGCCTGGGTGACAGAGTGAGACTCCATCTCAAAAAATAAAAAGTAAAAAAGTAAAGAAACAGAGCCAGGGAAGGTCATGAAGGGAGGATTCTCACGTACGAGTTGCCAGATCACAAGAACATTTTCCAAACCACAGCTTACCACATGAGACACAAGTACTGCTAACAGCACAAGGGCAGCTAGCAGCTAACAGAAGAATACTAGCCTGACACTGTTTCTCAGGCCCAATCCAAAACTGCAAGGGCCTAACAAGAACTCCAAGACTCCAAGTCCTAACTAGCAACTACTGACACTCACCAATCTGCTACTGAACTCACCAGCTCTCATAAAAAACCCTGCTAGCACCAATGAACTTTCTTTTGAAACAACTTATGTAAATCTCCTCTTTCCCCAGGAGAACCCTAACCTTTTCCTTTGTTCTCAGACATGCTGGGGGCCATCCTAGTCTATATGGACATCCTAGATTGCAGTTCTACTTCTTGTATATTATTCCCAAATAAAACCTTTTTACTTGGAGATTTGTCTCTATTTTTTTATGTTGACAGATGAAAAACTGGAGTTGGAGACTAGCCTGGGCAACATAGTGAGACATTGTCTCTAAAAATAAAAATAAATTAAACAATAATGGGCACTGCAGCCCCACCTAGTTCAAACACTAACAAGCTCAAAATGGCAGTGAAGGAGACTGGACTGGAGTGCACACAATTTAATTAAAGCTGCAGCCCAATCCATGTTCAATTCAGCTTTAGGAGGAATCTGAAAGATCAGCCCCTAACCCTAACCGCTAGACAGAGGAAGGAGCTCGCATACTCTATAAAGTGTGTGTATGTATGTGTGTGTATATATAGACTAAAATTTATTATATATAATTGCTTTTCATACACAAGATCCAGAGTGCAGTTCTAAAAATATAACACGGCCGGGCACGGTGGCTGACGCCTGTAATCCCAGCACTTTGGGAGGCCGAGGCGGGTGGATCACGAGGTCGGGAGATTGAGACCATCCTGGCTAACACAGTGAAACCCCGTCTCTACTAAAAATACAAAAAATTAGCCGGGCGAGGTGGCGGGCACCTGTAGTCCCAGCTACTCGGAGGCTGAGGCAGGAGAATGGCGTGAACCCGGGAGGCGGAGCTTGCAGTGAGCCGAGATCGCACCACTGCACTCCAGCCTGGGCAACAGAGCGAGACTCCGTCTCAAAAATAAATAAATAAATAAAAATAAAAATATAACACATGCAATAGCAACGTAGGAAAATGTAATACATAATCAAGAGGAAAAATAGCCAATTGAAATAAACCCATGAATGACTCAGTTATCAGAATCATTAGAGAAGGAATTTAAAAATCTTTATAAATATGTTAAAGGATTTATGGGAAAAGATGGATACAATGTGTGAATAGATGAGTTATTGCAGAAAAGGACCAAATGGCCAAGTGGCTCACACCTGTAATCCCAACACTTTGGGAGGCTGAGGTGGGAAGATCACCCAGGAGTTCAAGACCAGCCTGTGCAACACTGTGAGACCCCATTTCTACACAAAGTTTTAAAATTAGCCAGGCATGGTGGCACGTGCCTGTAGTCCCAGCTACCTGGGGAGCTGAGGTGGGAGGATCACTTGAGCCCAGGAAGTTAAAGCTGCAGTGAGCCATGATCACACCACTGCACTCCAGCCTGTGTGACAGAGTAAGAAACTGTCAAAAAAAAAAAAAGAAAAGAAAAGAAAAAAAGAACCAAATGGAAATTCTAGAAGGGAAAAATATAATATCTGAAATTAAAAGTTCAATGGATGTGCT